TAAATAACCCAAATTTAATAAGAGGAAATGTAATAATCCCTTATACGAAAACTATAATAAACATTAAGCTGGGATTGCTTACAAAAACTTCTCTTCTTTTTTTTTTGGTCTAGCTTGGGTTGCTTACAATTTCGTTGTATTCATTTGTGTTGTTTATTAATCTTTTCGCTGTTCTGGATTGTTGTCTACAGATTGATGGTAAAAATATGAAAGAAAGAAACAAGAATTATTTAAGAACATGAGAATTAATTAGATAACAACTTTAAAATAACTGAAAATGATGAGATGTTATTTCTAGGAGATACACTTGTATTATTATTGCATTGATGTCTCTAAAACTATTTGGTATCTTTGATCGAATTAAACTTGTACTATCTCTATTGACATGAGATTATCACAAGTAATCCTGTTTTTTTCCCTAAATCTCTTAATTATAGCAAGGTCCAAACATGAATTCACAGTTCGCTACTTTCTCCACATCGACCTCCATATCTGTTCATAACAACACATAACCACACAAAAAAAAGGGATAAAGAAAAAGTTAGATATTAACAAAGAACATAATATAGTTGAAGTTTACTATTGTTGCGAAAACCTTACTTTGATCTTTAACAGAAACACATCGATGAGTAACACAACCGACTTGGCAGAAATCATTTATTTGGTCGATTTCGTTTAGTTTCATTTCAGAAAGATGGTTCTTACATTCGCTAGCACAATGGCCGGAACATTTAGACTTCTTTGGAAACAATGGATTAATAAGACAAGCTTCCAAACAACATAAGTAACATAAAGGAAAAGTTATTTTTATAGCCTCTGATTCAACCACGAGCTTTGCAATCGTCAACATCATGACCACTAACACGGCCATTCTTTTGTTCTCCATTTTCTTGGAGAAACACAAAGATTTTATTTTTCTTTTGGTGGTGAGGGAATATTATAGATTTTGATGGAAAGTATTGTGAATGTTGCGTGAGTAAAATATGGGTTAGGCATTATGATATATTATATAATATTTTAAAATGAAGCTGTGACATTTAGAGTTGTTATCAATCTTCCACTTGTTTATTTAATACTTTATATTTACTTAACTTTGACATTTATCCCTTTAAATTTTTGTATTTTTATATTAATTCTTTAAAATAAAAATTTGATATCAATATATTAATTTAAAGTTAATATAAAATTATCTTCATAAATTAATTAAAAATAAATTAATTATATTTTTTTAAATTAACTTTTTTATTGTTTTGTCATTTTTTATCAAGTATATTAAGAGTATATCTTATATTAAAATCAAATTACTCTATAATAAACTAATAAAAGTATATAAGATGTTCCAATATAATTTTTGTATTGGCCACGTGCTATAATGTCATTATATAATTTTCTATCATGTTTAATGTATCAATATTTCAATAACACGAAAAAACTTTATATATTTTAAAATAATTCACATAAACCAGTTTGAAATTATTGTTTACTTTTGAATCTCTAGTTTACTAATATTGTAAGATCAAATTAACTACACAATTTAAAAAAAAAATCCAATAAGTACACTTTTAAAACGTATAGATCTTGAGGAGAAGAAAATTAGGATATAAACCGCATGTATTGTATTACAGTTAAATCTTCTATATGAGCGTTTAATCTGTGAAGGATGATATTAAATGATTGTGAAATGGAGAATTTTAATAAGTATTAAGATATACTCAAATATAGAGCGAGGCTAGCTTTTACAACATAATTAAAATTATATAACTTTAATCATTCAAACTTAGCCTCACTCAATATTTGAGTATATCTTAATACTTATTAAAATTCTCCATTTCACAATATCAAATCTTTATATGTTTGATCTCAATGTAATTTTATGCAAATGGTAGTACCTAAATTCTAACAAAATATGTTTTCCTATAATCCTTTGTTTCATTATACACTTGCGAGTTACGAACCATATTTCTAGATAGAAAACACGATTTTATATCTTACATTTTTAAGTAGCCCAATATTGATACCTTACGGCTTACGGGAACAACAAAATCATTTTCCCAAATCTCTATTTCTCACACGTACAAAATCTACAAATATAAACACAAACTTCGAGTCGTGTGTACTAGGATTAAGGGAAAATTACAAAACAACTCTAATGAAATCATGTTTCTTTAGCCAATTGTTTATTTTAGAATTTTTTTTTTTTATCTGAAGTAAAACACCAATACTGTAACCATGCCCGTGCCTATGTGACAAAAAAGAAGCTTCGGCCAGTGGCCTTTTAAAAAAAAAATAAAAAATTAAGGGCCATTAATTTTTGTTTTAGTAGAAAGTAGTATGAGTAAATGTAAAAACAATTTTCTTAGTTTAGTAGAGACACAAAGCCTTTAAAACAAACAAAAAAAGCAAATTCATACTATGAACTAGAATCAAGACTATTAAACATAGAGCATCTAAGGTTGATTGATCACTAATCAAATATTGTTGATAATTATAATTTTAATTGCGAATAAAGTTATAGTTGATGAAGGTCTATCTTCAATAGAGTATATTTCACGGGAGACTGAGTAACATGGTTATTTTTTCTAGTATACTAATCAATGTAACATCTTGAAAATATGTAAAGTTGGTTAGCCATTTTTTAGAAAAGAAAGATAAAAACATTAATTTTATAATTACTTTTTCAATTTATTCATATGAGATGTGTTATTTTTATATTAATTGAGATTTTTTTTTTAAATATCATCTCTGGCCTGTATATAGGCACGACTATGACTGTACCATTTGTAATAGTGTGCTTCAGGTTTCATGTATATCATACAATACATTCATCGATGGACTATATATGTGTGGAATTTCAAAGAGATGCAGAGACGTTTTTGGATGGTATTTAATCGTCAAACTAACATATTGGCCATATTGAGTATAGGCTACAACATACCAAAATTGTGACTTTTAGATTTAGACTTGCCTAAACTTTTTGAGAAAGAAAAACTTTATAATTGCAATACATCACCCAAAAAAATTCTTGAAAATTTGCAACAAGACAAAAATTCTCTCTCAAAAACTAAAAATAAAACCCATTGATGATTGATATTGGCAATAGCAGAATCCAAAAAGAAATCGAAACCAGTCCGACATCCGTTCAAGGCAAACACATTTTTGGACCATTCTACGAGTCCCCGAAGCTTTTTAAAACCGCATTTTTGTTATGAAATCTCTGCACACCAAATCTCCGTTTGACATTTCTTATTATTACGGCGACCTTCACGGCAAAACTTCACCTCTTTCCACCAAACTGTCACTCTTCTTTCTCCGCACGATTTTGCTACCGAAACAAGATGCTTAGGAAAATTTGAATTAGGGGACAGTTGTTCAAGTCCCCTCCACACCAAATCTTTATTTGCATCACGCCAATATAGGCTACCACATAAAACAGTTATTTGGCAAAACACGTTCTTGTCTATCTCTACCAAGCAAATATGCTTCTGATAGTTAATTAGCTTTAACCCATTATTGTCATAAACTTTTCCATCCATTACCAATCTACCTGGAACCACCCTCTTTTGAGTGGTGAAATATCTTTCTGCGGGAGAAAATATAGAAAATGTCTCCCATGTTTGTGTCTTTGGGTCGTAAACCTCACCCCATTGCTTAATCATATCATACTCGTGGCTTCCTCCCATCACATAAAGCTTACCGTCAATTACATCAGAGGCTGGAGTTTCTCGAGGTACACACATTTGAGGGAGTCTACGCCATTGACGAGATCGAGAATCAAGAACTAACACACTTTTGCATCTACTCCCCTCTAAGAACCCTCCAATTATGTAAATATTTGAACCAGTTGAAACAGCGGTTGATGATTCTGGAAGTTGATAAGGAAACGAAGGGACTGAAAGTAAATCTCTATTGTTTGGGAATTGGTGCAAGTGCGAACCAGCGAGGATTAGGTTTGTTTTTATTTAGGTCTAAAGAGACATAGAGGCAATCATCGGTTTTTCCCATGCGTGACCGTGTTGCCTCGAGCTCAGGCGAAGTTAGGAGTGAACGGAAACTGTTGGAGACGAGAGATAAGGTTGGATGATGGATACTCGAGATTCGGGACAAGATATTGACAAAGACGTCGTACGGTAATGACGAAAACGACGTCGTCGACGGAGACTCTGATGATATCTTCATCTCTTCCATGTTGATGATGCCTACGGGGTATTTGATTTCTTTGAGGTTAAGTTAGGGTTTCTGTCCACTTTATTAATACATGCCAATTAGGGGCCAAACTCAAAGCCCAGCCCGATTCGATGCTAACTCTCTAGGACTAATGAGTGCTCACCTATTGGCTTTTTGGTTTAATTGGGAAAACTATTAGAGCATCTCTATTGGAGTATCCGAATGAGAGATCTCT